TGGCAGGAAAAGGAGCGGAAGTCATGATGAGCGGGGTGCCCAGAGCCCACGTTTCCTCTGCCTCCCGGCTCGTGACCCCACACACTTCCTGCTCTTGACAGACTGAGGTGGAGCCAGTCTCCAACAGAGGGCCAGTTGTGGCCCTGTAGGCGGTGCATGGATCCTTGTGAACTCCTGCAGCTCACGGGTGGGCCGGCCAGCACCCAAGGCCCTGTGTTTGGCTTGTGTTTCTGCTGTCACTGTTTTCACATTCCTAGTAGACTTAAAAAAAAATTTATTTTTTAAAGGGCTCACATTTTCATCTTACTCTCGGCCCCCACTGGCTCTCTAGACACCGGGCAGGTGATAAAAGGGATTGTGGGAACCATAGGGTGCCATATAAAGCATTATGTGTTGCTGTTTATAGGCCTCTTGTACTTCTACCCCGTGACAAAAGGTGCCATGAGCATCTCCTGTCTCCTGTCTACTGCTGTGTTCTCTGTGTTCTGCAAAGCCTTCATTACTGTGCAAGTTTCTTTCCCATTTCTAAGAATTTGAGGAGCACAGGATTGCAGTTAAGGTTTAAATGTTCAACTAACAGCTAAATAAACAAGCAAAGCAAGTGCATTTGTGCACACACACACACACACACACACACACACACGCACACACTTAGAATCTGCTGCTCTGCCTGGAATCTTCCTCTGCTTTGTTCTAGACCCATGGCCCCAGTCTCCTACCTTCCTCTCATGTGCCTGTGTGGGCGTTCCTGTGTCCCCACTGGGTGTGGCCCACACGTCCTTGGGGGAGATGATGGCTTTCTGATTCAGCCCGTCCTTCCTTCCTGCTAAATGCTGTTGCCCAGTGAGCATTACTTTGGAGATAATTAATGTGTCCCATTTTAGTGCAGAAATATACCTTGTCCCGGGTCACATGACAAATGTAACCATAAAAAGTTTAAAATGCTATTATTTAAAATTTATTTTCTCATAAAAAATGGTTCCTGAAATGATCATAATTTGAATAACTTACTCTATACTTATAATACATTATGCCCTGGCTTTGGGCCAGGCTCCGTAATCCAGGAGCCCATCGAGATCTTGGTCTGAGGCTGGAGCAGCCCACCTCTGACAGCTCCTCTTTGCTGGCAGGCTTAATTCCTGGCCTGTTGCATTTGTAGGAACTGAATCTGCAGCTTCAGAGTAGCCCATTTTACCGTGTTGCTTTAGAAATTCTTGTTTTATAGTTAGCACTTAGGTTTAACAATTCTTATTTTTAGCTGGGCGTGGTGGCGCACGACTGTACCAGCACTTGGGAGGCTGAGGCAGGAGGATTGCTATGAGTTTGAGACCAGCCTGGGCTACATAGTGAGTTCCAGGTCAGTTTCGACTATGTAGTGAGACCCTGTCTCAAAAAACAAAAACAAATATACAAACAAAATTCTTACTTTATTTTTTTGTTTTGTTTGAGACAATATCTTGCTGTGTAGCCCAGGATGGCCTTGACTTTGTGGCGATCCTCCTGCCTCAGCTTCTGAGTGCTGGGATTTCAGGTGTGTGCCACCATGTCCAGCTAGTGACTTTAATTCTTCGCTAAAGGAGAGTGTGTGATTCTGATTGGAATCCTCAGGACCGATGTTACCTTTGTGCTTCACCAGTGGTTGTTACTTAGCCTTCTTTGGGGACACCCACCACTCCCGTGGTGTCTGTCCTGAGAGTGGTCTAAAGTGCCTGGGTGAAGGAAGTCCATGGATGTTGCTTAGTGATAGACAGTGGGTGGCCTGAGAAACCTTCACAGCTCCCGGGGCAGGTGAGGGTGCAGGTGCCCCCCTGGTAGAGCCGTAGCTCAGCCAATTATAGCAGTAAGCTTGCAGGTCTCTGCCAGGGATGCACCACCACACCAGTGGAAATGGATTTTCCTGGGGCCGGCAGAGCTGTATTCCCAATTGCAGCTTCTGCAGAGGAATCTCTTTCCTCTCTGCCCACCTCTGACATGCCGCCTGCATTCCTTGGCTTGTGGTCCCTTCCCTACCCTCCAAGCCGGTGGCATTGTATCTTGGGGCTTTCTCTGCCTTTCCCTGCAGGGATATCCTTTCCCCAGTGGACAGTGAGTGCCTATTTTCCCCAAACCCACATGGGCCCGTGGGCAGTGTTGAGTGAATAAAATTCGTCCTCACCAGTGGATGAGTCATGTGCCGTCAGCACCCCCACTGACCTGCAGAATAAGGTCAGGATTCGGGAAATATTCTTCCCTCTCCAAACCAGGAGTGCCCCCCATGTGGCTCCCCACTGCCAGCCCCTGACGCCACCTCCATTTTTCCTCTGTGCCTCGTACCGTTTTGCTTCACTGCTCTTGGTGTGGTCCACAGGCCAGATCCATGGGACAGGCCCCTCCAACCCCACAACCTGCACGGTGACTGGATCACTGGTGACTCACATGCACCCCAAAGTCTGGCCGCTCAGTCTAGAGGACCCTGTGCCACCTGGGCTGTCTTCTTACCACGCCCGTCTTGCTTCCTCTCCAGCTTCTCCTCTGGTGTCCTGGGTGTGGATTCCTGCAGCTGGGAGGGAGCAGTAGGTAAATGTCTGCCCTGCTCCTTCTCTCTGAGCCCTCCCAGCTGGCCTTGGAAAGGACTCTGCCTGTCGTGCCTGACTGGGCTGTGCAGCTGGTTGGGGTGGCGCCTCTGGGATGCCCCAGGGACCCCACCAGCTTCCCTGGCTGCTGCCTCTCTCCTGGGCGGACAGCTGCCTGGGGCGGTGCTCGATGCCCATCCACGTCCTGTGGGCAGAGGCAGAGGCAGAGGCAGAGGTGCAGGCGTGAGTTGGCTTTGACCTTGGCCCTCTGTCTCCGAAATGCTTCAACATGTTGGCCTGGTACCTTCCGAGCACTTGGGGAGTTTTGGCAGAGTGGCTGATAAGTATTTTTAGTTCCTTCCTCCTTAATGTTTGCCAGAAAACCACAGTCATTACTCATGAGCAGGAACAGCTTCCTCCCTCCCAGGCTCCAGAAGAGTCCGGCTCAACCGCGGATGCCCACGGAGGTGGCCTGGCCTGGCCCGGGCCTCGAGCTGTCTCTGGAGTGGGCAAATGGCTGACACCAGCAACAAAGCAGAACGTTGCACATTTTAAAATCCTTCCTTCTTCTTTTTCTTTTCTTTCTCCCTTCCTTCCTTCCTTTCTTTTTTTTCTTTCTTTCACAGTGCCGCACTAAGTCACTAAGTTGCTCAGGCTGGGCTTGAATGTAAGACCCTCTTGTCTCAGCTTCCCAGTCTATAGATGTGTGCCCCACCCCTGACTCAGTTCTTGCCACTTTTCTGAAGCAGTTCTAGAAGTTCTTTGGTAGATTTCTTTTTTTTGGTATCGGGTATTGAACTCAGGACCTTGCGCTTGCCAGGCAGGCAGCAGAACCGCTGAGGTAAATCCCTGGCTCCTGGAAGTTTTCTTTTGTGAGTGTCTTTGGTTGCATTGTCGTGGCTGCCTCTATGCCCTGATGGATTCAAAATGTTCTCGGCACCTTATTTGCTGGACCTGGCACTGTGCGACTTCTGACTGTTCCCCAGATTCACAGTGATCACTAAAGGAAACATTCTGAACTGCTTCAGGAAATCCAGACAGCCGGGGCAGAACAATTAGGAGACTCTCGAGAGAGCACCTCCAGAATTACTTCAGAAAGTGGCCAGAACAATGGGATCAGCGAGTTCAAAGTGGGCGTTTGGGGTGGGTGGGGTTTTGCCAGAGATCATGGCACTGTGTCTTTTGTTTCTTTTTTTTTTTTTGGTACCGGGGATTGAACTCCGGTCTTTGCGCTTGCAAGGCAGGCCACCGAACCGCTGAGCTAAATCCCCGGCCCCAGGCACTGTGTCTTTTACTGAATAAATTTTTAAAAAAGAAATATTCATTGCATTTTTATCACACCTCATAGGTATTAAGCTTTTTCCTTTAATTAATCATGTTAAATCATGGTAAAATGTGTACCCTGAGTTACCACTTTCACCCGCTTTTCAGCGTGTGTTTGATGGCCTTAAGTGTATGCACATCTCTCTGAAGCCACGGCCACTGTTGTTCTCCAGAATTCTTTGCACCCAAAGCTGCGTCCCTACTAAGCTCTACGTCCCCACCCTCCCTTCCCTGGTCCAGGCAGCCTCATTCTACTTCTGTGTTTTGTTTTCTGGTGTTTTGGTCTTTGTTTCTGTCGCGGTGCTGGCGATGGAGCCCAGGGTCCACATGCAAGCCAGACAGGCGCTGCGGCCACTGGCCTGGAGTCACACCACAGCCCTGCACCCTCGACTTCCTGCTACTGCTTTGGCTCTCGCGACTCTCAGGACTTCTGGGACCAGAATCACACAGTGTGCCCAGGTCTTCAAGATTCAGCCGTCAAGTAGGACCCTGAGCTGTGTTCCCCTTTAATCACTTGTCTAGTCGATAAGAGAGATGCTAAATTAGAACACAAGTGTGCTTTTTCTGATAAGCAGGGATATCTGCTAAGGTAAAGGAGAATTTGCTATTAGAAAAACGCTGGTGAGCCAGAGCATGCAAAATGCAGGGCACCCCTTGACGCCTTTGTGAGGATGGCGTGGGCAAGTTGCTGGGAATCCTCCGCTGCGCTGGGGGGCCTCCTTCCACAAATACGGGGGCACCAAGTCCCTCTGCCAAGGGGAAAGTTCCCGCACCCTCAGCATCCTCCATCCCGGTACCCGTTTGGATCTTAGTTTAATGGTAGTGCCCTCCCCACGGCAAGCAGCGAGGCTCCCTTGGAAAAATCCCACCCTCGGTGGAGGCCTAATAGCCTGAAGGATCTAGTTCAGTAGACACAGGATTCTTCTGTGAAGCACTTTCCAAATGAAGCGCACACTTTGGGATTAATTAAACTCTTTTCTAGCTGCCTGCCAGTGTAACCTTTCTTTTATGCTTCTTAGGGGGGTACACGAGTAAAAAGTCAAATCTATTATGTTCATGGCTCGGAGGGAAAGATCTGGGACGAAATTACCTTACATGCTGTTTTTTTTTCTGTTTCTTTTTTAGAATTTCTGACTACTGGATCAAATAAAGAGCCGTCTGGACTGTGTATCACTAAGCAAGAGATTCAGCCCAGGAGGGGAGTGGCTTGGGATTAAAGCCACAGAAGCCAGAGGGAAGTGACACGGATGACAGCGTGAGTCCACAATTTCTTGGCACCCTGGCAGGGGTGCTGGGGGGACATGAAAGAGTAGGTAAAAGTTAAGTGCTGACTGTTGAAGGCTTGGTCCGTGTTCTTGTTCTGGTCTCGCTGCGTTTTTGAGTCCATGGCATTTAATTAATTTTACAATTAATTCTTCTCACCGTTCCATTTTGGACAGTGTCGTTCTTCCATCTCTCAGCAGCTTGAGAAAAATCTGTATCAGTTATTATCCTTGCTCAAGTGCGTACAGGGTCATCTGGCCCCAGCAGGGGAGGTGACAGGATTTCAGTGCGGGGACGGCTTCCTGGAAGTGTTGTCCAGAGCCTGTGTCTCCCTGATCCTCATGGGCCTCTCTCAGCTTCCTTCTTCTTGACTTCAGTCTCTAGGATTGTTGAAAGAATGTTTGCCTTTTTATGACTTTATTCCCCCATACTGAGGATTGAACCCTTTTTATTTTTATATTGAGACAGTGTCTCATGAAGACACTAAGTTCCCCAGGTTGGGCTCAAACTTTGATCCTCCTGCCTCAGCCTCCTGAGGGATGGTTTATAGGCATGAGCCACTATGTCTGGCTCAGATGACTGGTTTTAAGTATATTCCCAAAGTTGTACATCCACCTCTAAATCCTTTAAGTACAGGACATTTTTGTTCCCCCGGAAAGGTAGCCCTATTTCTGTTATTCCTTTCCATTCTCCCCGCTGTCACCTCATTGGCACCTACAAATTTCCCACATCTTTCCCCCAGTCTTTGTTATTTTTCTTTTTCGTGTGGCTGTCTTGTGTATGGGAGGTGGTTTCGAGTTGCATTTCCTAATTATTAATGAGTTAGAGCATCTTTTCAGGAGCGTTTTGGTTATTATAGCTCTTCTTTGGGAAAATGTCTATACAAATCCCTTGTCTATTTTTATTTATTTGTGTATTTTCTGGTGCTGGGGATGGAACCCAGGCCCTCAGTTATGCTAAGCCAGAGTTCCACTGCTAAACGATACCCCCAGCCTTTATCTATTTTCAAATTGGTTTTCCAATTTATTGTTGAGCTGTTGGAATTGTTTATATATTTTGGATATATATTCTGGACCAGATAAATGATTTGCATAGATTTTATCCTCGTCTGGGTTTATCTTCTCATCTTCTTCATGGTGCTTGGAGTCATAAAAGTTTATAGTTTGGGTGAAGTTCAATTTTACCTGTTTTTTCTTTTATCAGTGATGCTTTTCATGTTATAGCTAAGGAATCATTGCCCATCCATGGTCATGAAAGTTATTTATTCCTATTTTCTTCTAAGATTTTTTTATTTTTTTCTTTTTGCTTTGTTTTGAGATAGAATCTCCCTTTGGAGCCCAGGTTGTCCTTGAACTCATGGCGATCCTCCTGCCTCAGCCTCCAGCGCTGGGATTATAGGCATATACCACTACATCCGGTTTAAGAGTTTTATTTTTAGTCTTATCTTTTACATTTAACTCTCTGATAAGGATTGTGTTGAATCTGTGGACCACTTTAGAGTATTGCCATATTAGTGATGTTAAGTATCCTAATCTATGATCATGGATTCCATTATTTAAATTTTTGTCAGTTTCTTTCAGTAAAGGATGTTTTCCATGTTTTTAAATTTTGAATTTTTGATGAAGTTGTGAATGGAACTGTTTTCTGAATTTTATTTTCCTATTGTTCAGTTCTAGGACACAGACACACAGCTGATTTTTAAAAATATTTTTAAAAATATTGCTTTCTTGCAGCCTTGCTTGAAATTATTAGTTCTAATGGTAGTGGTGGTGTGTCCGTGGATATTCCCTAGGATTTTCTATATATGAGATCGCACCATCTATGAGTAGAAACAGTTTTACTTCATTTACAATTTATATGCTTTGCTTTTTTTTTTTCTTGCCTGATCTCCCTGGCTTTTAATCTCCGTGGTACATGTCCAGAGGGGTTGGTGGGGAGAATATCTTTGGGTCACTCCTGATTTCAGATGAACATTCAATCTTCCATCATCACGTATGACATTAATTGGGCCTTTCACAGATGAGGGGGCCCCTTTTATTCCTGTCCTGGGAGATGCTGTTAGTGTCACAGGCTGATAGGTTTTGTCAAATGCTTTGCTTTAACTATTTTTTTTTTTGTTGTTGTTGTTTTTGAGACAGGGTCTCACTATGTAGGTCAGACTGACCTGGAACTCACTATGTAGCCCAGGCTGGTTTCGAACTCACAGTGATCCTCCTGCCTCAGCCTCCTGAGTACTGGGATTACAGGCGTGCACCACCACGCCCAGCTTGCTTTAACTATTGAGAAAGTTATGTTGTCTCATCTTTACTTAATTAATATGGGGTATGACTTCGTTGCTTTTCACATGTTAAGCCAACATTGTATCATGAGATAAATCCTATTTGATCACATGACCCTTTTAATGTGGTTCAGTTTGCTAGTATTGCCAATATTTGCTGGTATTGCTGGATTTGGTTTGCTAGTATTTTGTGAGGGATATTTGTACTGTATGTGATTTTTCTTGTGATCTTTTTGTCTGTTTTTGGTACCAAGGAATTATATAGAGTGAGTTGGGAAATATTCTATCCTGCTTTATGTTTTGTTTTTTTGTGTGTGTATGTGTACTGGGGATTGAACTCCAGACCTTGTGTTTATGAGGCAGGCAGTGGCCCCACTGAGCAAAATCCCCAGCCCCTGCTTTATGTTTTGGAAGAGCTTGTGAAAGGTTGGTGGTAATTTTTCCTTAAACATTTGGTAGAATCCAGGGAATTGCGGGTCTGGGCTTTTTGAATGTGTGTGTTTGCTGGGGTAATTTCTTTTCTTCTTCCCTCCCTTCCTTCACGTCCTTCCCTTTCCTCCCTCCTCTTTCTTTTTTTCCTCCCTCTCTCTTCTCTCCTCTCCTCCCCTCCCTCCTTTCCCCTCCCTCTCTCCCTGCTTCCCCCGCTTCTCTCCCCCCACCCTCTGTCTTTCTTTGAGACAGAGTCTTGCTATATAGTCCAGGCTGGCCTTCAGCTCATTATATAGCCCAGGCTGGTCTCAAACTTTCAGGAATACTCCTGTCTCAGCCTCCACAGTGCTGGGGTTATGGGTGTGTGTCACCATGCCTGGCATGCTAGGGGTAATTTTTTGATAACTAATCCAATCTCTTTAGTTGTTATAAGTGTTCAGATTTTCTATTTCTGTTGGAGTCAATTTTTGAGTTTTCCCTTTTTTCTTAATGTTTGATACTTAAATTATTTTAAATTCTTCTATCAGTCACTTTTCTAACTTTAAATAATGGGACTGTATTTTGATTTCTTGCATGTCATCCATCCCCAGTTTCATTTGATCCTCTACTTTGTCAGCTAGGACATTTACACCCCACCTTTCTTCCTTCCTTATCATAGCCTCTGTCCGGTTGCATTTTGTCCTGCAGCCTCCCCTAGGCTGGGCGCTGTCTACATTTTGAATATAAAAGTCAAAAACCAGTAACTGGCTTTCTGTGATAATAACAGCCTTGAGAGTGCTCCACACCTGTCCCGACAGTGAACTCTGTCCCATTTTTCCAGATGTAAAAAAGTTGTTATATTACGTCAGCTGCTTCACATTATGAAACATTTTGTTTGTTTCATTTTGGACCATTATTTTTCATGTACTATTTGTTGTCTGTCTGTCTTTCTTTCTTTTTTTTTTTTTTTTTTTTTTTTTTTTTTTTTTTTTTTTTTTTTTTTTTTTTTTTTTTTTTTTTTTTTTTTTTTTTTTTTTTTTTTTTTTTTTTTTTTTTTTTTTTGAGTCAAGGTCTTACTATGCAGTTCAGGCTTGTCCTGAACTCACTATGTAGCTCAGGCTGGCTTCAAACTCTTGGTGATCCTCCTGCCTCAGCCTCCCAAATACTGGGATTACAGGTGTGCACCCCCTCCAGACTTACGATGTTTTTCAAGAGTATCTTGTTGCCTTTCTTTTCTTTTGTTCTAGTCTGAATTGCCTTAGTTTTATCCTCAGTCCTTTTTCAAGCTCTTAACAATGCCATCTGTTCTATCAAATCTTCCCTTTTACCAGAGACCTTCCTCGACAAACTCTGTTTTTCCTCTCCAAGCTAGATGGTTGCTCACTACCTTCCTGGAAACTTTTGGAAGCAGTTCTCCTTTTGCCACCTCCAACCCCTGCACCGTGCTCTCTCACCTCAGCTGAGTCACCTCAGTCTCCCTGAGCTCTGGCTGTTCCCTTGTCTTAGTTACTCTTTTGCCGCTGGGACACAATACCCAACACTGCAATGTAAAGGAAGAAAGGTTTATGTAGCTCACAGTGTGTGGAGGTTTGAGTCCACAACTGTCTGGCTCCAAGGCAGGGTGGCACAGCAAAGGGGCCACACAGAGAAGAAACAGCCCCTGGAATGGCAGCAGGAAGCAGAGACAAAGATCAAGAGAGGTGATGGAAAAAAAATACCTTTCCAGTCCAACCCTCAGTGACCCACCTCTTTCATTTTGGTTTCACCTCCCAACATCACATTTAGCTATAAACTCATTGGTGGATTAATCCACTTTCACACTCTCATGATGCAGTCACCTCCCAAAAGCCTGTGAGTCTTTGGGGACATCTAGACATGAACCCTAACAGCCCTCTCTCCTAGTTGATTGTTTCATCTTCCTCCTTCTCTTCCTCTTCTTTTTTCTCCTCTTCTCTTTCTCCTCCTCCTCACCTTCCTTCTTTTCTTCCTTTCCTTTCCCCTGCTGTGGTCCACTTCCTGTTCTGTTTCTCTTTCTCAGGCAGTTGAGGCTGGCCTCAAACTTGTGTTCCTCTTGCTTGGCCTCCCTGGAGTGCTGGGATGACAGGCACACACCACCACTCCCAGCTCTGGCTTTTATCTCTCTGAATCATTTCGTCTTTTGTTTTTTGCTTCCTGTCATTCTGGAGCTTGGCCTTACCGCAGAGTTCCCATTTCTTAAAGGAATATTCTAGATCTTTCCAGAATATAACCTTTGTGGAAGTTAGAAGGCAATGGGCTTGTACTGCAAATGTGTCTCAAAATGCCGG